GCACTTAAACTACGACATTCTCTTATTAAAGTGGCACAAATTTTGCAAGGGGAGGCTTTACGCCACGAAGATGAAGCTTTAAAGGGACGAGCAGAGCACTTTAATAAGCTAATTGAACTGGAATGGACAATCCATGTGTCATCAAATGCACTAAAAACACTATACCAGAAAAAATGGAATAGTGCACAAATACTACCTCTAGCAGAAGACATCAGGAAGCTTCAAAAGCATTTAAAGTATCTTGAGGAGGTCAACAAACAAGAACTCAATGACCATCCATCCAAAAGCTCATGGAGTAATCTCTCCCAAGTCACTCTTTCACAGTTAATTTTGTTTAATCGGCGTCGTGAAGGCGAAGTTTCTAGAATGGAGGTCAAAACCTATCTGCAGAGAAACGACCTCAACATACAGGATGATATTTTGGAGAGTCTATCACCGTTTGAAAAGAAATTATGTGAGAATCTCACCAGAATAGAAATAAGAGGAAAGAGGGGTCGGAAAGTTCCAATATTATTACCAGCAAATGTAAAGGAATCAGTAGAACTTCTAATCAAAACAAGAGAAGATGCTGGGATTTCTCAAGCTAACCCTTACATATTTGCCCGTCCCAATTATGGATCACTAGAGAACATGCGTGGATGTGACAGCTTAAAGCGTTATGCTAAAAGCTGTGGGGCTAAACATCCAGAGAACATCACTTCTACTAAATTGAGAAAACATGTGGCTACAGTTTCTCAGTTACTCAACTTAAAAACACATGAACTTGACCAGCTTGCCACATTTATGGGACATGACATCGATGTCCATAGGGAGTTTTATAGACTCCCTGAAGAAACGTTGCAAATGGCAAAAGTCAGCAGAATTCTTTTTGCCTTGCAAAGTGGAATAAGCAAATATAAAGGACAATCTTTGGAGGACATAACACCTAACATAAACTGTAAGTAAATGATTTCTGTGTATTGTGCTTTATAAACAAGGGAAATACTTCACACTTGGTAAAACTTAGTCAATTTAACATAATATAAATAATATTTAATCATTTCAGCTGAAGAGGGCTCCAGCTCAGACTCAGAGGATGGTAATTCTAAAAAACAGACAAGCCGAGGCGGTAAGTTTTAAGTTGTCATTTTTTAATATAATAATTACTAATATTGAGTTAGGAATTATATACTTAAATGCAATATGGCTTTAATTTAGTGTGCAATTTTAAGTAAGGGTTGCTTCTCCATGTTTCAGAAAATGCTGACAAAGAGAAAGATCTTTCTGAAATTAGGGATCTCGACTCTGGAAAGGCTGCAGACTCTCGTGAGGTGATTGGACAAATGAGTAATCCACTATTGTCCTTCAGTCAAAAACGTATGTGATTCTGTACACTAAAATACAGAAGTTCTAAGCATTTCTTTTTACAATTGAACACTGTCTTTTGTGTTTTCAACTTGTATAACTCTGTAATACTGACATTGCATTTTACATATTCATTTCTTCGTATATTTAATAACCAACTAAATTTCTTTCTCCTCTCCTTCTTTATTAGGAAACCCCAAAAAGCCCTGGTCAGAAACAGAGAGGAAAGTCATAGAACACTATTTCAAGAGCAACTTTAAAGAAATGAAGACTCCTGGAAAAGTGGACTGTGAAAAATGCTTAAACAAAAATACAATTTTAAAGGATAATGGAAGAGATTGGAAAGCAGTTAAATACTTTGTGCACAACAGAATAATTTCGATTAAGAGGAATTTGACTCAAGGGTATCATGCTCTATATCCCTGAGAGCTTGTGATGTGGACTATCAGTGTTGAGTCATAACTGTAATAGTCTATGTAAATGGAGCATCAGTGTGTCAAATAATTGATATTAGCTTATTTTAGATGCATGTCTAAACTTTTCAAGCAACAAAGTCTATTCTGCTTGGGCCTCTCAGTTATTGAATGCCTTGTTATGACTTTGGTTTTAGCCACTTTAAAATTTTACAAATTTCTTAATTTTACCTTTAATACCACCTTTTTTCCTTCACCAAACTATATATGTTTATTGTGATTTTAAATTTACAGAAAGTGAAAGCAACTTATTTGAAAAGTATTATTTAATGTTATTGATTTTATTGTTGTCAACCTGTAGCCTGGAGCCACTTTTCACTGAGGGTGGAATTGCACTACTGCAAGGGGGGTGGGGATGGGTGGGGTTGGGGGGCTGGTCTGGGGTGCTCTATTAGTGAGCTTATGCTATTTTGCAGGTAAACTCAGCTTGACAGTTTATCACTTTGAAAAGCATTTCCATTGTCAGGAGTTCAGCGAAAGCACATAACATGCCCTCAGTTCAAGACTGTGTGTGGATTTTAAATAAACTTTTCCTTGATTTCATTCAAAAATTTGTAGCTATGTTTCTTGTGTCTGTGTCTGTGTGAGCAACTTGCAATCCAACAAGTCAAAATGTGCAATAAGTGCTTTTAACAACTAAACGTTTTTAGGCAGCTGTAACTAATAATGAAATAAAACATTTTTAAAATAATAATGCAAAATAATATTAAAATAAAATGAATAAGAAAGTTTTAAACAGCAGAAAGTCATAAACAGCAACAGGTCTGTGCATGTAGCAGTGATCTCTTAAACATCAGTGTTGGCAATAAAGTAAATTAAATTAATTAAAAAAAAAATTTAATTAAATGCTGTAAAAAACTGTTCGCTTGAGTCTGGAAAAAAATTGTGCGCTCTGCCAGCCGAAAGCATGTCGCGTGCACCCAAAGTGAACCCTGGCAAACACCGCGATAATGTCACAGATATTTGTTGACTTGGAAATGTGCAGCTGGCTCACATTACTTATATGACCTAAGGATGTTCAATTTTATGTTGTTTTATTTCCCTGATTGACAACTTACACTTGTTAACCAGTCCTTACCTGTTAGTGACATGTACCTTTGGAATTAAATCTAACCAATATAATGCACAATATTGACATCATGGGTCAATGATTCATTCAGTCATGACCACTAGTAGCATTTAACTTCATATTAATTAAATATAATATAATAAATACAATTAAATGAAGTACAACAATGAAACATGTTACCTACACTGAGATGTGATATGTTTTTTAGGTTTAGGTCCACAGTTTGTGCACAATGCTCTTATGTTGTAAAATCAAAGCCACATATTGCAACAGCAACAAAACACTGTGGAACGTCTGATCAACACTAGAAAAATCTCTTGAAATCAGTACTGACCCTGATAAAGCAGACATATTCACTCACAGATTCACTTTTCCACTAACAGCCACAGTTCAGCTTCTGGAATTGGTTCGCATGAACATTTTTAAACCATCAAAGTGGATTTTTAATATAATTATCTTTTTAGTATCATCTGTGTTGTCTTGTATGTCAAATATTGAAAGGTTAGCAGTGTCTTCATGAGTGTGAAATTTGGTTTATGATATTGTGACTTTGCTGAGGTATGTGTGTGTTACTGACGCGTCTGAGAGTGTGTCTTCTCTGTATAGAGATGTAAATGAGCAGCGGGGGTCAAGACAGTGGAGGAGGGGGTCAGCAGCAACACAACCTCTGCTAGCCTCTCTTCACTTTAATCTGCTATAAATCTCTTGAATTTAACCGTCTTTGTTGAACAAAATGGCAGTGATGCTCAAAAAATTACAGCATTAATCAAAAGCTGATGAAGATATATAATAAACTATTTTCTTTTGGTTTCTTTATTTTCATGTTCTCTGTTCTATAGTTGATGATAATCTGAGCTGCGAGCAGATGGAAATTGAAAAAATGTTCATGCCTGAACATTTTTAAACCATCAAAGTGGATTTTTTTATACAATTACCTTTTTAGTTTTATCTGTGTTGTCTTTTATATCAAATATTTAAACGTTACTTTAAATAATCAGATCACTATTAATTACTACCACTGACAAAGTCTTTCTGTACTTTTTGCATATGGAACTGTTCTCTGTAGTGTGTGTTGTATACTGAAGCGTCTGAGAGTGTGTCTGCTCTGTATAGAGATGTAGATGAGCAGTGGGGGTTACAGTGGTGTGGTCAGCAGCAACACAAACCTCTAACTCTGTCTCTAACCTCCAACTGTCTGTGTTTCTCAAAATGACAATCATGACAATTCAAAAATAGGAAACAAAAACACTTTTTAACATTTAAAGAAAAAAGTGATGAAGATATATCATAAACACTTTTATTTTTGTTTCTTTGATTGTATGTGCTCTGTTCTATAGTTCAGGATATCTCAAGCCCTGTCTACACAGCAACGATTGTTATATTTATTTTTTGATTTTTTGCAGATTTATAAAGTTTTGCATTCATACTAGTATTATTTCAAGAAATGGGAGAACGAGTTAAAATGGTGTAATACCTATAAAGGTGTATACCACACCTATATGCTGGATACAGTAAACTCACAGAAGAGTCATTAACATGCAGAGTACAGGCAGAAACAGAAGATGATAGCAAAGACACAACCAAGCACAGAGTTAACACCGGTTTACCATGTTGTTATAGTAGTGTAAATAAACTTAGCAGTGCCTGCAGCACAAACACAGCTCTGTAATCTGTCAATGAGTTTGTTTACATAGACATCAGTAATCTAATTATGTTTCTTAATCAGAATAAGGCATTGATATGATTCAGGAGTTTACATGAGTTGATTTTTGAATGCTCCTTTCATGATCCCATTTGACATGTTATAGCACATTGCTGGATTATCATCATTACATCAGCATTAGATGCTAGTTTCCTCCTGCATTTTACACAACAACAAGTTAGTGTTCATCTTTGTACCATATGTTATTTTTGGTATTTTGTTAATAATTTTGCGACAAGTTCAACTGCAGTTAATTTCTTACACTATGAGTGCAAACAGCTGATGGCGGATACAAATTCTCCACCATCAGGCCACCTCTGCCATTTCAGTCACTAACTTTTCATTCATGGCCCATGACAAACTCACTTCAGTCAAGACACTTCATAAAGTCCATTTCTTCCAGAGTTACAGGTTTTTACTCTGTAAGCCATTGTTCAAAAAGTTCATTTCAGGACAGCACCAGTGTTGTGTAAACCATAGCTCGAAATGACATTAATCCTTATTTATCCATTTTAAATAAGTTTAATTCCAAATGTACATTTCTAATCATGTCACTAACAGGTAAGGACTGGTTAACAAGTGTAAGTTTTCAATCAGGAAAATAAAACAAAATAAACATTATTATTTTATTTCTGTTTGTTAAGCAGTCTTTAGCTGAAAATGTAATTTGAATTCAATTAAATTAAAATGGATATGTGTCTGTGACTGGTTTTGCAGGGGTATAGTTGTAAATAAATGATAAACAGCAGCATAAAGAACATGAGGATTCACAGATCATCAAAAGTCACATGATAGTAAAATCGTCTGACTTTAGTAATCTTTGTTGCCATTTTTGTGCTGAAGCACAACTATTCTGTGATTTAGTGTATCTTGCTACTCTGTCTGCTTGTTTTACTCTATAAGGTGTAGCATACACATCACACCATTTTAACCAGTTTCCCCATTTCCATCTGCTCGCAACCCTTGAAACAATGCTTGTATGAATGCAAAAAACCCCAAAACAATTATTGCTGTGGACAGGGCCTGAGATCTCAGATTATCATCAACTATAGAACAGAGAACATGAAAATAAAGAAACCAAAAGAAAATAGTTTATTATATATCTTCATCAGCTTTTGATTAATGCTGTAATTTTTTGAGCATCACTGCCATTTTGTTCAACAAAGACGGTTAAATTCAAGAGATTTATAGCAGATTAAAGTGAAGAGAGGCTAGCAGAGGTTGTGTTGCTGCTGACCCCCTCCTCCACTGTCTTGACCCCCGCTGCTCATTTACATCTCTATACAGAGAAGACACACTCTCAGACGCGTCAGTAACACACACATACCTCAGCAAAGTCACAATATCATAAACCAAATTTCACACTCATGAAGACACTGCTAACCTTTCAATATTTGACATACAAGACAACACAGATGATACTAAAAAGATAATTATATTAAAAATCCACTTTGATGGTTTAAAAATGTTCATGCGAACCAATTCCAGAAGCTGAACTGTGGCTGTTAGTGGAAAAGTGAATCTGTGAGTGAATATGTCTGCTTTATCAGGGTCAGTACTGATTTCAAGAGATTTTTCTAGTGTTGATCAGACGTTCCACAGTGTTTTGTTGCTGTTGCAATATGTGGCTTTGATTTTACAACATAAGAGCATTGTGCACAAACTGTGGACCTAAACCTAAAAAACATATCACATCTCAGTGTAGGTAACATGTTTCATTGTTGTACTTCATTTAATTGTATTTATTATATTATATTAAATTAATATGAAGTTAAATGCTACTAGTGGTCATGACTGAATGAATCATTGACCCATGATGTCAATATTGTGCATTATATTGGTTAGATTTAATTCCAAAGGTACATGTCACTAACAGGTAAGGACTGGTTAACAAGTGTAAGTTGTCAATCAGGGAAATAAAACAACATAAAATTGAACATCCTTAGGTCATATAAGTAATGTGAGCCAGCTGCAGACTGGATGATGACCAAACTGACATTAATCTAAAGCAGATGTTTTTGCTGATGTTCATTGGCAGCTTTATTATGAAAGCAGCTTCAGGTCCCCACTTGGTGTGTGTTTTAGTAAAAATGCAGTAACATTCACTGAGAAATAGATCAAATGTGTGTGTGCTCATTTAAATTGGGCAGTGTATATATTTAGGTGTTTTGAAACATCCTAGAGATGTGGCCAAAGTTCTTCTGATTGAGCTTGTGTCAGTTTGTTCTGTTTCTTTATGTATTTCCAGACAGACTGGATGATGATCAGATCAGATCTCTGTGTGGAGCACTGGCTGTTGTCAGACTGCTTGTGCAGACAGTAATCTCACTGTATAATTACAATTAATGACAAAAATAATGTTTGGAAATGTAAATTGCTATTTCAAGCTGACGTGCTACAAATAAACAGGGGGGGGGGACTAATAAGTTGACTTAATTCCTTCATGTTTTCCCAACACAACTCTATTGTGTGGAACCCAGCATTTTAGGCCGTACTCACACTAGGTACAATTGCCTCGAACCGGGCCAAAGCACGCTTGTTCCCCCTCCCGTCTCCCCCGACGGCCCGCGCTCACACCATATCGGGCCTCGGCACGCTTACGTCATCGCTGCTGCGCTGTTCAGAAGCGCTCTCTATGGCAAGCCTTTTTAGCATTTAAATCTTTGTTCTGACTCCATAAATATATTTAGAGATATCTCTAATTATATTTTGACTACTCATAATTATAATTCCACTAGTCAGAATAACAATTAGAGATATCTGCAATTACAATTGTACTA